GGGTAGAAGCTCTCATGGCTGGGCCGGCCTTTCCTCCAAGTTGCTCCTGCCTCTCCCCAATGGCTCTCTCTTTCCCAGTCCCTCAGCCATCGCCACCCCAGGGCCGGTCCCTACCCATCTCCAGGTACTCATCAAACAGCCCCTTGAAGGCCAGCAGCTGGTGGTCCATCACCCAGGGAGCCCATTCAGCCAGGACCGACTCCCCCTCCTCGCCCACTGCTTTGGCAGAGATCCTCCAAGTTGCTCCTGCCTCTCCCCAATGGCTCTCTCTTTCCCAGTCCCTCAGCCATCGCCACCCCAGGGCCGGTCCCTACCCATCTCCAGGTACTCATCAAACAGCCCCTTGAAGGCCAGCAGCTGGTGGTCCATCACCCAGGGAGCCCATTCAGCCAGGACCGACTCCCCCTCCTCGCCCACTGCTTTGGCAGAGAGGAGCTTCTGCTTGCGCCACCAGCGACTCAGCTTCCTGGGGGATGAGACGGGCCATGTCCCCCGCTGCAGCCACCCAGTACCGCTGAATGCCCCCTTGGCAGAACCTGCTGTGCGATGGCCCCTGACGAGCCCCGCCGTACTCACGGGATGGCCACCTCCTGCACATTGTTGATGATCTGCTTCCCCACCATGATGACCAGCAGCTCCTGCGCCAGCTCGATCAAGCACCCACCTGGGCTGCACTGTGGGGAAAGAGGGTCCAGCTTATGGGGATCAGTGGACCCCAAGCATGGGAAGGTCCCTGCGGTGGCTGGGGGATCAGGTATCACCCAGTGCTCACCTCCTCATTGCGGACCCCTAGAAAGCTCAGGTAGTTGCCAGGGAAGCCAATGAACCTGTGGGACCCACAGCCAAGCCATAAGCAGGGACCCCAGGCACTGGGCCCAGGGATGTGCCTGGGGAAGGAAGGGGCTTTTTCTGGTGCCCCAAGAGCTCTTCCTCTACTCCCTTGCCAAGGGAGACAAATGGGGGCTGCAGGAGACAAGAAGACCCCCTGCTCCCCACCAAGGACTTACTTGCCCTTGAAGAAGGCGATGTAGATGGGCGAGGAGTACAAGGTGACGAACTGGAAGACGAACACTTTGAAGGTGAAGGCGTCCTCGTACTTGGTCTGGGTGCGGTGCATTTCTGCTGGGGTGGAGTGCAGGGATGTGGCCCTGCACCACTCCAGAATGCTCTTCCACATCGGTGCAGGAGTCACCCCACATGGCTCAACTCTCACCAACCACCTGCAGCCCAGGGTCCCCAGACCCACTGTGGTACCATGGAGGCACCTGCCACTCATCCAGTTTGGACCAAAAAATAATCCTCCTCCCTTCCACTCAGTACAAACAGACTTTGTGTCCCATTAAATACAACAAAAATATCCCACACACTTTACTCCCCCAAATCTCAAAAGTTAGCTTGGATATTACCATCCAAAACCCCCAAAAGTTAAACCCTACACTCATTTTATTTTTAATTTCTGCTGCCAAAACACTTTTCCCTGAAGGCCTTTTTTTCCCAGCTCTCCTCTATCAAGCCATTGATTCCCCTGGGCTTGGGGCTCAGCCCTTACCAACTGCTCCCTCCCATCACCATCCAGCTTGCAAGCCCCTTGCCAGCTTACCCCATTTGGTGAGGAAATGAGCCAGGGAAATGTAGATCTTGGAGAGGATGAGGATGAAGATGAGGTTCACCACCGAGCTGGTGATGCTGGCGATGCGGGATGCCTACAGGGAGAGGCAGCACACAGAGCAGGAAGGGTGGTGAGCGAGCCCAGCACGCACAGCAGGTCCCAGCGTGGCTCTGGCCACCTCTTACCGAAGCTGCAAACCATAAGGAGCCTGAGTTGGAGAGGAGGATGGCCACCACTGCCCGGTAGAGGATAACGGAGACCAGGAACATCACCACTACAGCAATCTGCAAACATCGTGTGAGCAGCTTGTGTTGGGACAGAAAACTACTGTTAACCCAGGGCACTGGGAGTCATTGAATGGTTTCGGTTGGAAAAGACCTTTAAGATCATTGAGTCCAACCATTGAACCAGCCCTAAGCCCGCCTCTAGACCGTGTCCCTAAGCACGAGTCCCAGGGGAGCTAAGCCTGGGTGCAGCTGGTGGAGACCCACAGGTCTCACCATGGGCCAGGGACACCTGTGTTTATCCCCAGCAGATGTTGCTCCAGCCCATGCAACCTTACCATCATTATAATGACCATCGAACCAGCCAAAATGCGGTGGAGGCGTCTGCGCTTGGGAAAATACGGCTCCTCCGCCCCCGTTATTGGGTTTGTTATCGTCATTGGAGCTGTGGCCGTGAACTGGGGCCGTGGCCGCTCCTGGGAAAGAGGAGGAAAGGCATCAAGGGCACTTGGTGGCTTTGGTCCATGCAGTTTTGGGAGGCACCGCAGAGGGCCAGCCCCCACCTCAATGTCCTCGAACTCAGAGCAGTCCCAGTGGAGAGCCAGGGACGCATTGGTCCGCTTCCAGAACTCCAGGAACAGCACTCCCCACAAAGACATGAAGATGCTGAAGAAGACGGTCCCACCGTGGTCAAAGAGCCGTCCCGCCTGTGGGCAGAGTGGGGCTGAGGAACGGGCAGAAGACCAGGCAGGGTGTGGGGGCTGCCGCGGTGGCCTAAGCTGTGGGGCAGGCAGGAGGGAAGGTGGAAGGGGCCACCTGGGAGCCTTCACCAGGGAGGGAGAATGAGAAGATAGGTGTGAAAGGAAGCACTGGGGCAGCGGGGCCAAGGCAGGGAGATGGACTGGGATGTCGTAGGCCAACCTTGGGATGGAGATCTCCAACTTGGTCCTGAGCTGCCCACCAGGCCCTTACCATAAAGGCACTGCAGATCTCAGAGAGCTGCCAGTAGGGACAGGTCTTGCAGAGGGGACACATTCGGTACCGCTCCCCGCTCCCACAGATCTCCTGCCTACGGGCACGATAGGAGCAGCCAGCCGCCTGCTGGGGCTCAGCCTCGCCCACCGCTCCATTTGGAGCATTCACTGGGTGTTTTGTACCCAGGGCTGTGGTTGAGCCCCAGCAGTCAGCCAGCATCCGCACACTGGGGTGCAGGGACCCCCCCAGCCATGAGCGCAGAGGGACCATGGCCCCGGGGAAGGGGTGAGCAGGGAAGTGGGGGGTGCACTTACGAAGGTACATCATGGAGCATCAGGAAAATGCCAGTGATGAACACCACTGTCCCCACCACTGCAGCCGGCAGGAGCCATCCTGTGTAGAAGCCTGGAGACAGCGGGGATGGGGGTGTGGGTCCTGCTGGCCTCTGCCATGGCCACCGAGCCACAAGCGGCTACAGACACTGAAGGTGACACATGCCCATGCCCAGCATGGCACCAGCCTAAAGCCACACGGGGTTTGGAAGACCTGAGCTGCAAAGGACCCGCCAGGCTCTGGCCAGTCCTTTTAGAGCACATGGGACACGGCTCATGGTGCCACCACTCGCCACCCTCGAAACGCAGAGCAACCCAGGGCAGAGCCGCATCCGCACTCTGGAGCGGCCGCAAGCTGCCAGCAGCCCCTTACCCTGGGGCAGAGGAGCCGTTCCTGAGGGCTACGGACAGGACTTACCCAGCCAGGCAAAGTAGAAAGCCACCTTCTCCCCGAAGTACTGGCGGACATGCTCCAGCGGCTGGTACTTGCTCCACTTCCCCCAGCTGGCCCAGTACTGGAAGAGGATCTGGCGCTGGCTGAGGCTGCCGGACACCAGCTCTTCTGGCCGTGCCTTGTAGGGACCCTGCGGGGAGGGGCAAGGTGGGCAAGGGGCTGGTGGGGTTCACAAGGTGGCCTCCTGGGGATGCGGAGCCTTGCCTCATGCAGTGGAAAGGCGGCAGTGAAGACATTCTCACTCAGCAGCCGGTCCACCCCCATGTCCCGTTCCCTGCAGGGGCCGTACTGCGTGGTGACCAGGATCTCATAGAGCTGCCAGGGACAGGAGGGGTGAGGGGGGGCTGCAGTCGACAGTGGGAGGGGTCCTCACCATCCATCAGCTTTTGTGCTACCAGCTCCAAGCCTAATTCCCAAATACTCAATGGCAGGAAGAGGGTTTCAACCCAAGCCTTTTAATCCCCTGGAGACCCAGTCTGGGATCTCAGAGACCATGACCATGCATGACAGTTTGCCCCCTCCCAGTAACCCCCTTAGACCCAGCAGCCCATCCAGGACTGGGGAAGGGAGGCCACAGCAGCCCCAGTGCTCACAATTTGGTGCCGCTGGGTGGTGGAGAAGAAGGTGTCCTGCTCATCACTCCCCAGGAAGCTGGAAGTGCATGGAGGAGCAGCTCAGCAGAGCCTGGTGCTGGGCCAGAGGGGTGCAGCACCCCCTCCTTGCAGTGCCCCCCAGCTGGGGGTCACCTCCTGGCACGGCCCCACTGAGGTGCTCACCAGTGCAGCTTGTTGGCCTTGAACAGGCAGGTGTAGTGGTCCAGCGTCGAGTTGGGAACCTCCTGGGCCACCAGGTTGGGGATGCCCAGGCGCCGCAGCACGCTGGCCGACCAGGGGGAGGTCTGCCTGGGCAGCGCCTGTGCGGGCAGCGGGAATGGCTCAGGAGGAGGGAGTGGGAGTGAGATGGCAGCAGAGCCAGGCAGGGAGAGTGCCTGGGACATGAGAGTCAGGGCTAGGGCAAGAAGGAATGGGGCAGTGGAGGAGAACGGCAGAAGGGGACCAAGGTGGGATCCCATAACTGCATGGGAGAAGACGGGGGACTGCTGGGTCCACTGGAAAGCAAGGAGACTGCAAATGCCATCAGAGATGCACAGCAAGCCCAGGCTGTCACCCAGGGCACAAGGCACCGTCCCTCGTTGCCTGGGGCACCGCTGCACCCACCTGCAGCGGCACACGGAGCTGCAGCTCCTCGGCATAGTAGCAGAGCAGGTCCCAGGGCGCACTCAGCAGCAGATAATGCACCAAGGTCTTCTCCAGGCGGACCAGGTGCTGTGGGGAGATGGGGACCCAGTGGAGAAGCCCACCCCACCCTATGCTCCCCTCCCATGCAAGGGCCCCACTCCATTCACGAAGCAGGGCTGTGGTTATCACAGCACAGGGAGAAAGCTGAGGTCAGGTCCCCGGGTACCTTCTCCATGTGGATCCCAGCAGCGTGCAGCTTGTCCAGAAACGCCTTCCGCCAGGTCCTGTGGGTGGTGGTGGATGTCTCCTGTGAGCCCCCGCTCTCACAGCTGTCCTGCTGCCCGCTCTGCTCCCACGGAACAGATTCCCACACCAGGACAAAGTCTGTGGCAAGGGAAGGGAGCTTGTACCCCATTCTCCTCAACCCAGCAGGCCCTATCGAGCCCCAGCCTTCCTGCCCAGGTAGAAAGGAACCGACCTCAAGGACCATCCCGTGTCCCTCACCTATCCTGGTGGAGCCATCACTGAAGACGTTGGCTGGGCTCTTCTGGTTCAGGGCTGCGTGGTTGGGCTGGAAAGGAGGCACCCGGGGTGACGAGAGCCACGATGCCCCCTCAGCTTGACTGCAAGGGGCACAGACCGCAGCCACCTACCTGGGTGATTTCAATGGCCTCCTCGCTCAGGCTGCCATAGCGAGTGCCTCTGCTGTCCCACCCCACCAGGCTGCAGTGGGGATCGTCCGTGGTTCTCCTCCACTGCATGGTGAACCTTCACGCTCCTTCCTCCTGCTGCTGAGAAGCAGACCAAGAAAACTGCGGACACCCCCCAGTCTCACCACCTTTCCCAGCAGTGCCAGAGCCCTGGCACTGGTGACATGGCCAGCCCCGCTTCCTTCTCTGCTGGCCCCTCAGCTCCTGCCCACGCCTGGTAAGACCTGAGACC